CACTCTACCCATATACACTATGGGACACCAAGAAGGGACTTGACACACTGTACCTATGTACACTAGGGGACACCAAGAATGGACTTCTCACACTGTACCCATGTACACTAGGGGACACCAAGAATGGACTTCTCACACTGTACCCATATACATTAGAGAACACCAAGAATGTACTTCACACACTGTACCCATATACACTAGAGGACACCAAGAATGGACTTCACACAATGTACCAATATGCACTAGGGGACACCAAGAATGGACTTCACACACTGTACCAATATACACTAGGGGACACCAAAAATGGACTTCACACACTGTACGCATATAAACTAGGGAACACCAATAATGGACTTCTCACACTGTACCCATATACACGAGGGGACACCAAGAATGGACTTCACACACTGTACCCATCTGCTCTAGGGGACACCAAGAATGGACTTCACACACTGTACCCATGTTCACTAATGGACACCAAGAATGGACTTCACACACTGTACCCATGTACAGTAGGGGACACCAAGAAGGGACTACACAGACTGTACCCATTTACACTAGGGGACACCAAGAATGGACTTCACACACTCTACCCATATACACTAGGGGACACCAAGAAGGGACTTGACACACTGTATCCATGTACACTAGGGGACACCAAGAATGGACTTCTCACACTGTACCCATGTACACTAGGGGACACCAAGAATGGACTTCACACACTGTACCCATATACATTAGAGAACACCAAGAATGTACTTTACACACTGTACCCATATACACTAGGGGACACCAAGAATGGACTTCACACAATGTACCCATATGCACAAGGGGACACGAAGAATGGACTTCACACACTGTACCAATATACACTAGGGGACACCAAAAATGGACTTCACACACTGTACGCATATAAACTAGGGAACACCAATAATGGACTTCTCACACTGTACCCATATACACGAGGGGACACCAAGAATGGACTTCACACACTGTACCCATCTGCTCTAGGGGACACCAAGAATGGACTTCACACACTGTACCCATGTTCACTAATGGACACCAAGAAGGGACTTCACACACTGTACCAATATACACTAGGGGACACCAAGAATGGACTTCACACACTCTACCCATGTACACGCGGGGACGTCAAGAAGGGACTTCACACACTGGCCCCATATACACTAGGGGACACCAAGAATGGACTTCACACACTGTACCCATCTACTCTAGGGGACACCAAGAATGGACTACACACACTCTACCCATGTACCCTAATGGACACCATGAATGGACTTCACATACTGTACCCACGTACACTAGGGGACACCAAGAATGGACTTCACATACTGTACCTATGTACACTAGGGGACACCAAGAATGGACTTCTCACACTGTACCCATGTACACCAGGGGACACCAAGAATGGACTTCACACCCTGTACCCATGTACACGAGGGGACGTCAAGAAGGGACTTCACACACTGTACCCATGTACAGTAGGGGACACCAAGAATGGACTTCACACACTGTACCCATTTACACTAGGGGACACCAAGAATGGACTTCACACACTGTACCCATGTACACGAGGGGACACCAAGAAGGGTCTTGACACACTGTACCTATGTACACTAGGGGACACCAAGAATGGACTTCTCACACTGTACCCATGTACACTAGGGGACACCAAGAATGGACTTCACACACTGTACCCATTTACACTAGGGGACACCAAGAATGGACTTCACACACTGTACCCATATACACTAGGGGACACCAAGAATGGACTTCACACAATGTACCCATATGCACTAGGTGACACCAAGAAAGGACTTTACACACTGTACCCATATGCACTAGGGGACATCATGAATGGACTTCACACACTGTACCCATGAACACTAGGTGACACCAAGAATGGACTTCACACACTGTACCCATATACACTAGGGGACACCAAGAATGGACTTCACACACTGTACCCATATACACTGGGGGACACGAAGAATGGACTACACACACTGTACCCATGTACACTTGGGGACACCAAGAATGGACTTCATACACTGTACCCATATACACTAGGGGACACCAAGAATGGACTTAACATACTGTACCCATGTACAGTAGGGGACACCAAGAATTGACTTCTCACACTGTACCCATGTACACAAGAGGACGCCAAGAATGGTTTAAAACACCCCATTTTTGCTGTGAAAGGTGGAACAAAATAATTTGTCCTTTGTGCATGTTCTGTATAGTTTGGCTCCCTTCACCATCTTCTCGAGGCAAAGGCGTTCCAGAGACAGACTTCCGCCAGTTTCCACCCTTGCCGAACCGTGCTGGAATTTTAAGGCTCGATTGTAGCGCCACCAGTGACTATTACGAGTTATTTCCCTTCGATGTCCCCCCTACTGACCAACCAGACTCCACCCTCCTATCTCTTGCACTTTCAAACAAAATTATGGCGCCCGGTCAGATGATTCCATCGATACTAAAGTTTTACCTCGCGAAGTGCATCAAATCACTTGAGCACCTTTATTAAAAACATGAAAAGATTTGGATACTATTTGTCGACGGTACACATGCTCTGCAAATCCAGCAATCGAACGAATTCGACACGGCGTTTGCTATGTTGTTTATTAACCGGATGTCGATTTCGTTACGGGATTTTGATGAGACTGTGCATAGACTCGTCAGTCCAGCCAAAATATAACTCCATAATTCCAGCCTTGTTCGGCAAGGGTGGAAACTAGACGATTAAAATCAGTTTACTCCCTTGCCTCGGGAAGATGGTGAAATGGAGCCAAACAATAAAGAAAATGCACGTGAGCCCAGCGATTCAAACCTGACAAATTATTTTGTTCCACTTTTTCTTGAACAAACTATATTCTTTCCAAAAAAATATACCAGGACACCCCACCCTACAAGGATATCAAATGGTCGGTCCATAGGCTGGCCTGCTTCAGACCAAATCACACACTAAACCCTCCCCGTAGCAATTCCAAGTTAGAACATATGTCCCTAGCAACCCATCAAAAGAGGCGACAAAATGGATCAGGTACGTTAACTTGGTTGATTGCATGTCATCCTATCCAGTTGCGTGGATCAATGGTGTGATGTCATCATTGGCGTGTCTTGTCCAGGCTTGATTATTACAGATCGCTGTCATGATATAGCTGAAATATTGCCAACTGCCACCCTAAACAACAAACAACGAAACACATAATGGGATTTAATGAAATCACTGATCGAGATTGTATAAGTGCTATTAACAGTAATTCAGTTATAACACAGGGTATCAGCTTAATGTGAGGAGAGAGGATATGGACATTTACCACTTTGGTGAAACTCACATGTACAGACGGATATCAGTCAGGCTAATCTGGGATTGAATCCTAAACCAGTTATCCTTGCACGACAAAGGGAGACAATTTTGCAAAGTGAGTGGGTGAGTGATTTGGGTTTAACGCCGCTGTGAACCATATTTCCAGCTTTATTACCCATCCAGACATATCGGGGTTCATAAAAATCATATGTGCCCTAGGGTCATATCACGACACGAGACAACAGTGTTTTGTTTCCGTCATCTGAACAGCATTGTTGACGTCATTCGAATCTTATTGTGACGTGTGGTCACACAATAAACGACGTCATAGCTGAAGAATGTTGACGTCATTCGACAAATTGTGGTTCCGTTGCTGTTGCGACTTGCTGTCACAAAAGGAAAACACTAAACTTCGTCTCTGTATGTTTATACACTCATATAATATCCTCGACGTGTCAGCTTAATATGGGAGGAAAGCCTGAAGTGATGCTCAGGCGATGGTTATGGTGGTTATTGTTAGCACGGGTATGGTGCTGACAGACCTACAAACATCATCGGGGCGAACCGGGATTCGAGCTCGCAGTCATAGTTTCTGGCGTATCCAAGGGACGTAACTCTGCACAGCGAATCCACCCGTGTCCCCCTCTGCAGAGTTGAGCTGAAGTGAGATGTGGCTTGTGGCTGACAAACCTCCAACCCTATACGGTCTCCAGCTCAAAGTGTCAGGCGATAATAAATCAGTTGGTGATTCGTCCTCTCGCCTTATTCTCTATCCATGATTGTCACAAAGTGTACTTGTTATGTGATTGACGGTCAATACCACCATTGGAGCGAAAATGGAGAAAAATGACCATAATGCGGGCAGTGAAAACTATCTGTTTGAATATTGCAGTTAACAAAGGTCATCTTCCTGCGGCATAGGAGTTAACTGACTATAAAAGTCCCGTTTCCATCCTTGCCTCGGGAAGATGACAAAGGTTGGTTAACTAAAGTTCAAAACTCAAGACATGACTTTGCGATAACATTTAACAGATCCCTTATTGTTTATCATAACCATACATTTTTGAACATGTAACACACAACTGAGACAGAACTGTGATGATACTTTACATAATTATTTTAGTGGTATGCATGTTGGTGAGTTGTCTCCCTTATCCTTCCAACAACTCAGGGAAGATGCTCGTGAAAAGACCTGCCACAAAATTACAAACAAATTTATACTCTCTCCAAGAGATATTCAGGCTCATAGTTTAAATTTTAAAAAGTCTGTTTTCCATACCCCATTGCATATAGTTCATAAAATAAAAACAGAAAAACATTCCATTCTTAGCTCTAGCAGCCTATACCCATCCACTCATAAGTTAGTCAAGCAGCCTGTGCTTGTTGTCAGAGGGACCCGTGATGATCCGGGTTAAAATAGGTCTTCAGTAACCCATGCTTGCCGTAAAAGGCGACTAACGGGATCGGGTGGTCAGGCTCACTGACTTGGTTGATGCATGCCTGCACTGAGATTACATGTCATTATACCCCAATAGTCAGGGTCTTTGTTTGGTAATATTAATCATGGTGTTCCTGCTCCAGTATGTCCTTGATTTTGCTGGAATAGTGCGGACTAAACACACATTCATTCATCACATTGAAAGTGAAACACTACAAAAAACACACGCCAGTTTTAGCATAAAGCCAAGTTTTATTGGGTAAGTAGTATAACTGCTGCACGTACGTACGTTCACCACCAGCCGGCGGTCAGCTGCTGTCTACGTTACACACCGATAACACGAAAACAACACATTGTCGCTTACACTCACACTTCAAAGTCAGAGTTGGATTTCAATTACACAGCTGGTTGTAGGACAGCCCGCGTCACCACCACAGTGAACAATACCGGACACTGAAACAGGTGCTACAGTGACATAATATCTCAACAAGCTTCACTGGAAGCAAGCAATTTTAACTTCAGCCAGACTATTTTTTTGTCTTGGTTTACAGACTTTATGAAAAACTGATCGGTAATGAAAATACTTTTGAAAAAAAACAAACATTTCAGAAATGTTATTACGTTTTTAAAAAATGACCTCAACATGCTGCCATGAGAGCAGAGTAAGCTTATTATTGGTCCTGTAGTTCAACCTCTACCGTATGCAAGACTTTTTTTCTTTTTTTTCAGGGTTACTTTCTCTCACCATTGAAGACATGGATAGAATCATAAACCATTTAAAAAAAGTTATAGAATCATCTGACATTGCATGGGTACAACTGCTATTTAAAAGTGACTGTATTAACATCTATTTTTTTTCAAAAGGAAAAAATATTGGAAAGCACCCTAACAAAGGGCACCACGTCAGCCCTCAGTTCTCATTTTTATCAACTTTGTTGTAGCATGTGATTTTTCCAATCATAAGGCTTCAACAAAACCATAATCTTTCTGAAATCAATCTAAATCTAGATGTTCCATCAAACTGATAATTTACTTTCAAATGCAACATTTTTTCAGGTATATCTGCAGCTTTCATAATTTTGTGACAGATAAGTTTACAACCTGTGATACTGTAGTTTCAAGCTCAAGCTGATTGTGCAATACAGAAATCAAGTCTACTGGCCTTCTGGTTTTGGCATGACGATCAATGGCAACCATCTAAAAATCTTATGCACAAAATCATCCTTTATTGCACACTATAATCTAACTTTTAAAAATCCTTTTGAGGTAGAACGTATAAAAATACTTGAGCTTTTTCCTATCTGAGTTATTCTTGTGGAAAGTAGTACACAAAACATATCACTGGAACATCTTAATGTTCTAATATCCATTTTTTTTAAAAGGCAACCTAAAATAAGAAATGTCCTGATTATGAAATTGCAAATTCTGCCAGCAGAATACTTGACTGAGATACTGATAATTTTTGCATCTTCACAAAAAGATGTAATTCATCAACTAATTTAGTACAATGAAATGTTATGGAAGCAGCTGAGACATTGTCCTGAGCTTGTTCAGTTGTGGTGATTAAAACAGGCTGTCCTAATTAGCTTAAAATATATTACAGTAATTAAGATGAGAACTTGCAGGGTTAACGTCACCTCCTCACACAAAGTCACAACAATGTATCAAAAATAGATAACAAGATGTTACAGAACAACTGTGCAGTGTCACAGAAATGGGGGATACGGGCAACATTACCGATTTCCCTCCATATTCCAATCAATTCCATGTATCAAACACTACACAAGCATCACTTTAGCCTTATTGATTTCATTTTCATGTTTCAGATCTTATGAAAACTAGTTACAAATAATTTGCAATGCATTTTTTTAGTGATCAATTCTAAAAAATTGTTTTGGATTATCCCCCCTGATGACCATCTCTCTGACACTGCAACCAGTTTCTGCAGAGAACTTCCTGAGAAACTGAGTGGTTGACTTCGAGACTAAGACAGTGTTTTACATAGAGTTGCTAGTTATCTTGGCTCTAGGATCTTACAGCGTGTTCACCTGACACACAGAACATGAAGACAAGCACATTGTAAATGACCAATGAGGCCACAGCATGAACCAGCCAACTCGAATTGTTCAATATGTTTCAAAATTAAATCAAACTTCATGAATTTAAATTTAGATCATATTCTAAACAGAATTATGACAAAGACATTCATTTCCTTCCACAAATATGCCAATCTTTATGTTCTGAATCTCTGGTAGCCATTCAAGTACCCCTCGATGAACAGAAGTACATGTACAAGCAACCAACCCAAAATTAACTGTCACATTGTGACCAATCTGTCTCAAACTAAATCCAAGTTCATCAAATACGAAATTTGAGGATAAAAAATGCAAACATGAGATGCCAATTTTTTTTTTTTATTACATCATCCATGCTGTCAGTCCATAAATCTCGACTTATTTTGGGAGTTCCTGGTACAGACTCTCTAGTGAACTGTGATGATAAGCTGAACGATCCCATTCACGATATACTTCATTCTATTTCAATCCAAATCATTTTATAAATTTTAGTCTTTACAAAAAACGTTTGAGTCTACTTGCCTAACTGTTAATACAATTTTGGCTCCTTTTTAGTATATTTTAGTCACAGTATATGGAATCGTATAAGTTGATGTTACTAGTCCAGAATGAAAAACAGTAAAAACACTAAGATCGATTTGGGGAATGAGGCCCGGATTCACATTTTCCTATTATATGACATCTTTTATTCAGACCGATCAATGTCTAAGTGTGGCCTCTAAATACCATTGGATATCAAAAAGTGGCTTTTTGAATAAATACGGAACTCAAATTTACTAGAAACAGTGTATCGTGAACAGAATATCATGATATGGTTACAAGCGTATCAGTTGAGCCTATTGCTATGCAACACCTTGATCAATTCTCCTTGTAATTACAAAACTTTGTTAATATTAGAAATGGGGTTCAAAGAATTTCTTGGATTTAGTTTGTTAAACAGAACTGTGTTATTAATATGCTTGAAAAACAACCAAAAAAACATAATGCATCAATTAAGTACTGTGAGAAACTAAGACGTGAGAGTGAAATGGAAGATCGGAACTAGAAACCCAGGAACGTAAATGTGTACTTTTGGTAATACCTGCAATATCCAAATGACTGAAACTGGCAACACTATGATATGTGTGATAACATGTAGCATGTTTGTACACCACCAAGTGTCATCAACTGGTACTTAATTCTAAAGCATTTTCGGCAAAATACTTCAATAATTGTTAAGTTATACTGTCATACATTCCTTTTTGACAAACATGACTGTTATTACTGTACAAATGTTCAAAAAATTTGGGATTAATAGCCATCTTGTAAACACGAATTTGGTTAATTTGGAAGTGAAAAATTCTCATTGATAATGCTGATTGCATGATTTGACATACTTAATACCACATAATAAATATATTAAAGCTAAGCCGAATGATAACAGGTGATTTCATATATCAACTCATACCAAACTAAACAGATCAATCATACATAATGGAATTTTTCATAAAAAGAGGTAATTCTGTTTAATGTAACCAAGGCGATCAAATCTCAATTACTTCAAACATACCATAACTGTGGACAACAAACTCTTGCATTCAAGCCATTTTGGATATTGCATATTTGAAGAGAAAAAAATCTACATAAAAAGTATTCTTTATTTTCATAGAAATTATTTCAATATGAAATTTTTATATTTCCCATTCATTCATGTTTGAGCAAAATTCATTTCTTAAGGAATGAGTTATTTCAATATGATTTACCAGAAACTGTGTGAACTGGTGTGTTCCCTGGAGGAGCACAGGGCTCTCAAAGCCAGATAACTGGTTGTAGAAAATAGTAGGGGTGTAACAAGACCTTGTCAACACACCATTCTCATAAAACATTGGTACATTTTCCAACAATATTTTTTTCAAAATTCAAATTAACATAACGTTGATGGAAACAATATTTTCAAATAGATATTTAAACTAGACATGAACATTTAAACAGACTAATACGTCCTGGTTAATAGATGGTATTGATAGCGAAAAGTGAAAACAAAAAGCTCTAGTTCTGATTTATGTAAGAACACAACTGTTTGTCAAAGAAACGAGCTAACATGTTTTCTTTCTTGTATTAGTGTCCTGCCTTGATGAATCGTTACACCCCTAGAAAGTAACACTCAAGTTCCCTTAGGTTCTGCAGAGTAACACGATCTACATGAAACAAACATACTAAACCATCACTTCATCTCAAGAAAATAGATAGGCACTGAATTTACAAATAACATCAATATTATAGGTGAATAGTCTTCTACCTGTCTCTCCTTCCTTTTCACACAAACACAGTACTATGGTGTATGGTCAAACATAAAGAGAAGAGAATATCAGGGTAGCATTACTCTCATGCCATTTCATCTGACAGCAAATCCTTGGTTATACTAACACGAGAACCCCTCAAAGACTTGCATCACCAACATTTGCAATAACTAGAATAGTGATCCAAGGGAAGTAACTGGATTCCAGTCATAGTGAGTAGGGGTCAAACCTTTGTAAATACTGCCTTGAATAGGATATCAGTCACATCATAATGTATCAACTTTGATGCATCCACTGGTCACTCTGGTAGTAGTTCTTTACCACTTTTGTGAAACCCACAAGCTTAAGAATGGTACTAACAACCAAAGGACCATTATCAGAATTAGTCTGGGTTTAAGCCCTTGACAAAAGGCAAGGGCAGATCCAGCATTTTTAAAAGTTAAGGGTCCAAAATATCAAATCCTCTTAGATTACATTTGGTTTTCAAAAGGGGTAATGACTCACTTGTTAACACAACCATAACCACTTTTGCAGCTTGCAGTGATTACTTCTGAGACAAATAATTGAGACAATGTGAATATGCAGGAAATGAAACAGTTTCCTTATCTGTTTCCATTGAAACAGATGACGTTAATTGCAAAGTCAGGGAATCAAGCCATTGAGAGAACTGGTCAGAAATATTAGTTCACACGTTACTCGAAAGTCATCAAAGCCAAAGTAGACAATTCTGGTCTAATTTGTTGGTGGTATTGGAAGACAGCTACAGGGGACTTACACTGTGACTACAGGGACTACAACCAAACATGGCTACCACTGTCCATTCTGACATTTGTGGTGCAGGGCCTCGCACAAAGCAGGCTGACACCGACCCTCGTACTAGATGGCACGTTTTCTGAAGACCGTTAAACCGCATGAGATGGCACACGGTGGCACGACAAGGGAAACTCACTACAAGAATCCTGTTGCATTTCGTGGCAAACAGGAGTAGATAACTCACATCCTCCAAAAACTAATGTCCACTTTCATAAATTTCAACCAAGATTAATGTCCCTTCATGAAAAAGGTGAAACTGAGCTCCAAAATGGTGAAATGTAACACGTATAATTTTTGAAAATACTTTCCTTCTTATTGTCAAAATGTTACCAGGTTACAGATTAAACATCGTTTGTTGACATTTTTGCACAATTAGTCAATTCTCCCACGGTAACTGAAAAAGGATGAAACAGAAAGCAACCATGGAACCTTGATCATGATAGCAGACATGGTATTCTGTGAAGACAGATTCATGACTATCTAATGACAGCGCTACAAGAGATTCAAGGAACGGAACACATTTACTGCACAAGGAGGCAACAGAGTTCTCTCCCTTCCCATGTACTCCTTCCCCCAAACACCACCAAGGACAACATGCTCCCATAAAGACAAGTTTTCTGGTTTACATTTGGTATTTTCATGGCATAAATGGATTTGAATTTCTAACAACTGGCATCATGCCATACATGCACAAACAATAAATAAAGTTATAAAAAACAACAGATTTAGGCAGATTTTCTACAAAGTTCATGAGAAACTTGATACAGACTTTCTTTAGAAATGACAGAGATTAAAGCAAATCTGGTTCACAAAGAGTAATGTAAGCTTGAACATTTCTGAATCCACTAACATAGTGAACAGAGATATTAATGATGTATAGCAATGGCACCATATCATTAGATCTCATAACATACTCTTTACTAACTCTACCAAAACATGAAACAAATTACAACTGTAGCAACCACTGTGCCATAACATATGCTTGGCGTTCTAGCAGAACCTCTGATGAGCTTTAAATGATCACAGCAAGATCCATTTTTGCAAATAAGGCAACACACACACGCTCACCGGGTTTGTGCACCAGATACAAGGGAGGTAACTCTACCCAGAACAACCACAGCAAAAGGCGATATCAGAGATAATTTATTCGGTCTCAAATCACAAAAAAAGTTGCTTTGAGCATGTTGTCCTAAGTGAAACTTAATAGGGGGACTTAAGCAGGGAAAAGAAGATCCAGATTTCAGTTGTCTTGACAAATTGGTACATGATCCATGAAGAATCCTTGCAAAATCGTAATTTCTAGCTGCGTCGATATACGACTACTTCCTCCAAAACACTGACTGAGAGATTAAAAGTTGCTTATCCACAATCAATCATTACAGTTACATCACAGCCTATACAGTCATTGAGCCAGAACCAGAAAAATCAAGTCATAGACCGTGTTGGCGACTTTGGGATTCCTTCTTTCCATTTTTCAAATTGGGAATGAAACCTGTGCATTCATGAAAGTTTCGTAGAAGTGTCAAACATCAAACATAATTATCTTAAAACTTTATATCGCCTCAAGGCAACAGGGTTTCATAGAAAATAAGAAAATAATGCTTTGATTTTGAGGAGATTTTGAAGTTACGAAACCAGTGTTCCAATTTGAAGAGATTTTGAAGTTACGAAACCAGTGTTCCAATTTGAAGAGATTTTGAAGTTACGAAACCAGTGTTCCAATTTGAAGAGATTTTGAAGTTACAAAACCAGTGTACCAATTTGAAGAGATTTTGAAGTTACGAAACCAGTGTACCAATTTGAAGAGATTTTGAAGTTACGAAACCAGTGTACCAATTTGAAGCCATCATGAAGTGTGGGTCTAGCTTTCCTCTCATTCCCAACATACGATATACACCAACAGTTCACTACTGCACACCCAGACCTCACTCTACATGGTACACCGTAAAATCAGCAGCAATAAATATGTAATGTAGGCTAAAGTGCAATGATTCAACAGACAGTGGTACTTCAAAGGTTGCCTTAAGTCATTGAAGTGATACATTTCATACCTCAGCAAATCCCAACCTTAATGCAAATAACAATTCAGTGAAACATTTTAAGACAGGATGCAATCTTTTGGTTCTAAAAAATCTGTTAAAATGGCCTTAAATTGTAAAATTAAAGACACACAAAAGCAACAGTTTCTGTAACAAGATATTTGATAGTCATTTGGTGTAAAATTGCCTCTATCTCAAAATATTGTGCAAATTTAACAACGGGAAGAATAATTTTTTTGAAGATAATCATAAAATGAAAGAAAAATAATTCAAGGAGAAAGATGAAATTTGAACTGATTTTTATCAAATATTCTAGTCCATATCTTACATGCACATATATCAGCATATGTGACCAAATGACGAGCTGAAAGATGATTGGTCTTCTGACTTAATATTTCCAACAGGGTTGTATGTATTACTACTGTTTCCATGGAACACTATGGTTGCCATGGGAACAATACTCTGGTTGTTATGGAAACGTACTGCCTCATCAAACAAGCCAGCCTTTGAGAGTACCAATTGATGGAGTCACCTTTCTCCCATGTTTGTGAGTGTCTTATTCATAACCACACACATCAGTAACACATAACAGTGGGAACCACATCAACAACTATATACAATAAATAACAAGTACGTACATTTATGAGAATTCATGCATGCTAAAATATAAATAGAAAAAGAGAAAATCCTGCTGAGATATCCAAAACACCATCCACACATTTTTAAACCACAATCGACAGCAAATACTGGCAGTTGTTTCAATATAGAGGTGAACAGCCTTTCCCCAGCAGTATTAAAATAGTCATCTATTATCCTCAACCAGGGCCCAGTTGTGTTGTGCACCTGCTCTAAATGAGGATGACATACCATCTCACCATCTCACAAACTTAACACACACGCTAAGAGTGGTGTGTGGATAAAATTTCATAATTCCGAACAGCTCAACTCTTAAATACGAACAATCAGAGGTTATATTTCAACTTCCACATTGGCTTCAGTTTGTTCTCAAATGCAATACAATACTGTAACAACTTTCTCATTCACCATGTTCCTGATATATATGATGCAGACTGAAGTACTCCAAGTTAACATACGATCACCTAGGAAACAGGACGATCACACACACCACACTTATATGTCAACAAACATTCAGCCAAGTCGTCCTTCATCTGTGTCTTAATATTCCACACAATTCGTTTCATATTAAATCCAGGGCATCCTATTGTATGAGTATTGTTTTACGCCACATCACACTATGTCACTGTGGAGGGGCATATGGGCTTCCACATCTTCTACAAACTGGTCCTTCAGTGTGATGAGGCTTAACCAATTACTCATAATTGCTTTTCATTCTATTCAGTACCTTTAGATTGAAAACCAAATATACAAAAACAAGCCCTGACCAACATGGACTAACGCTTACTATATCTTTTGGTTTAGAAGCTTGCTTATCTTTCTTGTGACAAGTACTCGCTCAGTTTCACAAATTACTACATGTGATGACTTGAGGCAAGCAGCTCAAATTTAGTCACCGATAAAGTAAAATATAGATATAACTAGCAGGGCTGGGACGGTACACCAACTGTGAGAACCGATACGTATCACGATACCTTGTACACCATCCGATTCGTATCGCGATACTTCCATGTGCTCTTGTCTTCTGTGCGTAAGCCATATTTTTCATAGACAGGGTAGTCAAATATCTGGCACACTGACGATTTACAGTTGTCAGTGTCAAGTATGGTGTAATGGATGAAAATATTTACTTTTTCACTACTAATTAGTGTTTGGTGTAACAGCCATATAAGTAAACATTTAAGGTATGTATCGATATTGTTTACTTAGTGTGCAACTGTGATCGATACCTGTAGCACGAAGTTAAATATCGCGATCCACCGATGCATCAGTGTATCGTCCCACCACTAATAACTAGCCAGCAGGATCTGTTAGCCCTTTGAACATTTTACTGGCTAGATTAGAAGGCTAGGATTAATTTCTAAACCTTCATCAAGATACCTACACAATGAAAAAACAAACTTGGCTGAAGACTTGGTAACCATGATACTATTGAGGACATGAATTATTTCACAACTTCCCTTTCAACAAGATTCATGATAGTTCATGACATATTATCAATTGGACATGAATTGAGACAGTTATTATTAACTGACTAAACAATAGGATTCCAAATATATCATTGACCACATAGATTTTAATGACACTTGTCGTGTATGGTACTATTTCTGAAATGTCTTCAGCTGAATTGATAAGGAAGCTGTGAAACAATTGATCACTCATACGCCACCCTCCAACCAGACAATGTTTAAAATGAGACTACTACACAATTATTATGCACTCAGGGCTGTGCTACTGTGAAAGGTTGGTAGATGTAGTTTATAAAATAAAAAAATATGGTATTAATAATAATAAATTGTTGGGGTGCTTCATTTTCAAACCAGTTGAAAACACATAATACACTCAGAGACCTGCAAATTAAACAGTAACCATGGTAACGAAAAAGCACCCCCACTCTTTAACATTGTAGAACACTCTCAAAAAACGCATTACAATTCAATCCAAACAACACTTGGTCATCTGTTTTGGTTAAATTCATATAAAAATGTTATGAACGCATATATGCAAGCATGTGGCTAGCCTCAGGTCACACAAGCACCGAAATCCTACTGGACCAATCACTCAAGAGAAGCCAAGACCTTGCTGCCTCAAATACCAAAATGTTTACACAAATTATCACCAAACACTGTCTCAAATCCACTCACTGCTAAAACACTGCTCTCATTATCAAACTTAATAAAATATTGAGGAGCATGATGTACGAAGTGCACTGTCAAATTTGATAAGTATGCACAATTAAAAGTGACTTTCATGCAATTTACATTCATGATTTCAAAAATAGAATTCTTAAAATTCTTCCACATTTTGGCTATAATATTCACATTTGTTTGAGGGAGTGGGTTCACTCATACCAGGTCCAAAACAATATCAGAATATCAAAACACCTCAAACATTTCACCAATTCTTTGCATCATCAAAATTGCTAAGATGTATACATGAAGTACCGGTAGTCAATGCAGTTCTGGCAAATCAACACTTTGTTCTCTTGAAATGACATCATTCAAAACTCCCATTTACACATGCTGTAGTGTTGCGAATGGTTCATAGAGTGTCAAATACAGAGCAAGGAGCTAACAATTTCAGTAACTATTTCTCAACACATTCTGGCTAGCACTACACAGGAAGGTAATAGTGAGCTATGAAAAAAACTAGGGGTGAAACGATACAGGAAGGTCACGATACGATACATATCAGGATACACAATATGTTATGTATCGCAATATACACATTAACTTCAAATCTCATGGTATCTTCTTGACTTTAAATATTTCAGAACATGTTCAAAATGTAAAGCTTGCTGTAGACACATAATAATTTTAGAGATGAACTTGAACGGCTAATTAATTAATTAATTGCAATATTTGACTGACAAAAGCTCTCGGGGTGGATTGGGTGGGTGTTATTTAACTACAAGAAAGTGATTTAGTTTAGCAAGTGTATACGACTTGTATCGATATAGTTAAAAAATGTATCGTGTATCGTATCGACGCATGAAAACTCACAATGCAACGGTACACAGTTGTATCATCTCACCCCTAATGAAATCTGCTGCCCACTTCAACATGTCATGATCATTTCAAATTTTATCAAATTTGTATAAACCTTAATGATTTCAATTTGTTCTATTTAAGCTGTGTCATGACTTGAACATGAAGTGGAAGCAGGTTACAATTTCAACAATCTTTAACTCTCTTCCCTATAGTTTGGCAAAGATGCATAATGCATACATCAACAATAATCTACAGAAATCTAATTTAAAACAACAATCTTTACCTTGTCAAAAACATTTTGTAAATAACTATGGGCAAACAGTGGTTATGTTGTTGAAAAGTGCACAAAAAATTTAAATTTGAACTAAAACATGAATGTTAGCACTTATCAAATACTCACAAGTAAAACCCTTCGCACTACGACAAGCTTGTCGTCTTGTGCATCAACATACCAAGTATGACAGTGGCACTGGGCAAGAAGCCGTTAACTAAATGGAGGTGGACTGGGTGATTTACTAATGTCTCACGCATGCATGATGTCCGTTCTACAACTGAGAACTTTGCACTTGAGATTTCTGATGTCCCACTCATGCATGATGTCCGTGCTTGATGCCAAACTTTCACACCACACATTACCTAGCATGCTCACATGTAACAGAGTGGAGTTAATCTGACGTAAAATATTCAGTAACAGAATCAAAGACTTATTAAATCTGTGTGGGAAGACCTCATTTTGCCTTCACCTCATGTCTAATGTTTTTTTTCAGTCTGTACAAAAAAACATTGGAGTCTGCCAGTCAAAACATGTCTTTGGCATTAAGTTTAGTGTATACTACTCAATATTTGCTGAGGACCCAGATACTCATCTTTAGTCAAAGGTGTGTGATCCTCAGCAAATGTCGGGAAGTAAATGTTAGTGTTACCAGCCAAAATAAAACTTTCTATGCTTAGGCTTCTGACTAGTAGTTAAAGTTGCAGACACTCCTTTGAAACTTTAAGGATCTAGACTGAAAAGTATTACCGCAAATGAATCAGCAATAATAAAAGAAGCGTTTTCTGGTTCCCATAAATCATACATTTCATTGCTGTTTCTGGTGAATTCAACTATTTCCTGTCTCTTCAAACCAAGACCCACATGTAGAACTCAATCTGACTTAATTATGTTACAGAATACTCTACTACATGAACATTTTCCCTGCTACAGCCTGCCCTATACTCACTTCAGTTCCACCCTGTCCCTGCCTTCGTCTGGGCTCCCCACCCACCAACATGCCCTGGACTGTGGGAGGGGCCATCACTGCCTTGGGACCCTCCCCACCCCAGGAAACCCCCACCACTCCCACTACTAGTTGTCCCATTCCCTACCGTGCCAAAGCTACTGTTGGCACTGGCATGGTTGGGTGTGGGGTTGTCCCCACTACTTGCGCTACCCCCCTGGTTAGTTAGACCAAGAGGACCCCACCCCCCTTGGCTACTCAAAACAGCCTGAGCTGCTGCAAGCATGGCGTGGTTTAACTGCAGTGCACCAAGCCCTAAATTGCCCAAGCCTAGATTGTTGGACAAGTTGGTTCCCATGCTGTTGCCCTGGGAGGTGAGACCTTGACTGTTCCCTCGTCCAGCATGTCCCCATGTGCCCGGGGGATATGCCTGGTTGAATCCAAAGGGGGTGTGGTTGAGCCCTGTCCGTCGATCTGTGTGTTTCTCGTTGTTCTTTGGCGCGGCTCCACTGATATGAACACTGGCTCCCTTGATGATGTGGTCTTCCCCACACAGGTTTTGGGCTACTTCGGGATCCGCAAATGTTACAAATGCAAATGCTCGGAAGGGCTTTGGAATGAAGACGTCAACGACTTCTCCAAATCGGCTGAAGTGGAGTCGAAGGTCGTCGGCGGTCATATCCTCCGTGCATCGCCCTACGAACACTTTGCGATTCATCATCAGCTGGGCTCCTTCCTGGAGAAAACAATTCTAATACAACTCACAATCTAGTAACATTGTGTCCAATTTAACAAGGAATGTCAAAGGGAAGTAGTCTTAAGCCTAATGTTATAAATAAATGTGTCCCTGGATGAAAATGCAAGGCAAAAAACCTGACAGCTCTTAATTTCGAACACTGTAACATATTAATCTGAAATACCCATAACACATTAACGTTATCCTGAATGTACAGAATTTATCTTGAGGAATAATATTTATAAATATATTTATTTATTTATTTCTATAAGGATATCACGTAATCAAAGAAGACTTTGTTAGCGCAATATCACGATTAAAGTTACCATGCTGTAGACAGCACAGTTATGTGTTGCTATTAAAAAGCTTCTGATTCATTTGTTTTTCACAATTGTCCTGTCTAATTGCAAGTAGTGACAACTTCGATTGCAAATACAATCAAGATTAGATTCACAATCATATAAAAATCTCCCAATAAAAGGCAATAAAGCTACTTCTTTACTTGAAATGAAACTTTCTGAAATATAGAAGAGCAAATATAAGAAAATATAACAAAATGTTTATACCTGTATATCTACCTTAGAGTTCGGTATTCGGACATCACACCAGCGCCCATCTATCATGTGTCTCTGAGAGATACATTTCACTTGCGCCTCGTATTCAGCGAACCTCACAAAACCAAACCCTTTGGACTGACCTGTCTTTGGGTCCTTTTTAACCTAAAAATCAAAAAGCATCACTAAAAATATGTATGAAAAATACCTTGTTTAATACTTTCAACATCATGTCAAATGCATTGATGTCATCTCTGAAGTACCATAGTTAGATCTATTCTCTCTTTTTTTTAAAAAGTATATATTTTGAGACTATGTCGCTGCAGAAATATATTATCCTCGAAGCAAAGCGAAATGTGATTTCCTTGCACTAACAATAGACAAGAGAAAACCCTGATGGTGACAGACTAGCTGACTTCGTTTGAAATATATACTTATATGAATATTATCACCAATGTTTTGTTCAACAACTACAAAAATATAAGGTACTTTATTTTTCGGTCCTTGGGGACTAGCAGTCACATCAATTACCAGTCCAAGCCGAATTTTACTGGTAAAAAAACCTCTGGTAATTACCAGTAAACGGGAACACTGGTTTATTTATAACAGCTTAACTGTAGTCTGGACAAGAATTTCACGGTAGGTTACGAAACTATTAGTTGGAAATAACAGTGTCTAAAATACCTGCCTGCTGGACAGTCAGAGACGGACCATGTTGCTGACAGACGGTCAGTTCTGAATAGTTGCAAGCCCGATGACCGGGTCTCCGGGTTAAAGTTACATAGTTGACCATCCACCGGTTTATCGTTATTTTCTGAGAACTAACATTAAACAGTACTATTCTTATGTTTTCCCTTTTGTTACTTTTGTTCGCTAGTCTACAACATTCTGGACTGGCAACATTTGATCTGGTCTGGTAATCTTGCAATGTTGCATGTCCAGTTGTCTGAATAAAATCTCCAGGAATTTTATAGACTGGTAATAATATGACTTGGGTAGAGATACCAGAAAGGACCAAATATTACTTTCCCTCACAAAGTATGACAGCCATGCACATGATGCACCCAGCCAGCTTTAACACTAAATTTCAGTTGTATGAATTACTTCTACTTTTTACATACATTAAAGTATAGTTAACATTTCAATAACCCTGCCAACTGCTAATTATTTGTTTCACCACAAAACTGTTGCATACCATACATTAATCAGAAAGGCAAAAGAAATCGTTTTCATGAGTACTGCAAATACATTAACTTGGTTTGTTGTTTAATGCCGCCCTCAGCAATATTCCAGCTGTATGAAGGCGGTCTTTAAATAATCGAGTCTGGGCCAGACAATCCAGTGATTGATATCATGAGCATTGATCCATGCAATTGGGATCGATGACATGCATCAACCAAGTCAGTAAGCCTGACCATCAGATCCTGTTAGTCACCTCTTACGACAAGCATAGTCGCCTCTTACGGCAAGCATGGGTTGCTGAAGACCTAGTCTACCCCGGATCTTCACGGGTAAAAATACATTTAACATATCCATAGAGCTGAAATGTCTGTTTTAAACCATTTCTCCCATCTACCGAACAGATTAAAAAAAAAATCCATCAACCAAGAAAAATATAATAAAACTCAGCAGTTATACCTGGACCATCAGTAGGTCACCAAACTGTGAGAAGTATTTGCGAAGGTCCTCCTCAGTGCTCTTCCAAGGCAGTCCCAGGACAATCAGGTCGCTACATCGCTGCTTCTCCACACGCTTTGTCTTCAGTTGCAGGCTGTCCCATGGCTCCTCAACCTTTCGTTTGTTTTCTAAGAGGAGAAAATGGCTCATGCTAAATACAGAACGCTGGACTGAAAGCAGTGTTTGAAATTAGCATGAAGGTCAAAGGGTCTTGTTTTGCATGTTACAAGTTAAAGATTCAGAGGGCTCCCTAGATTAAAATACCATAGGAGCAAATCCTGCTTATAAACACTGCTAAAAGTAAAAGAAAATCCAATCTGCAATTAAAGCAACCAGACTAAAAGCCTTGGTTCAGTAACATGTCTTTCAAGCCTTGTACATGGTGTAAGCTTTGTGAGAAAAATTCATAGATTAACACTAAAATGATTAAAATGATTGACAATGATTAGATGATGTCATCATGGTCATGTGACAACTTCAGGCTTGTAGATTCAAACGTTTTTGGCACAGATTGTAAACTGGAACATGTGGAAGTTTGAAAATGATGTGATACATAATTGGTAATGGCATATTTTGTATTATCAGTTATTTTGCAAGACACTTAAGGCATTACGACATTCTTAAATATCAATTCCTTTACCAAACATAAATATGTTCGTCACATTTTGCATGACAATGCCAATGTCCAAGAAAATGATATGATTTGAAACCTTGTATTTTATATATAGTTTAACTTTCTGATCTGGATACCATTCCACAAAGTCATCTTAGTGCTAGGACTAATCACATGCTTCCGCAAAACAAAGATCTGAGGACATCCCATTACCATGATTACAGGTCACGTCAGACTGTCCTTTTGTGAACTTTGACCGACCAATGGAATGACTAACAAAAAGTCGACAATAGCCAATCAGAAGGCAGCTTAATCGAGCTTTACAGCACAAGTTTCAAACGCTTCAAAACATATTTGACATATACTCGATTAAAAAATTAAAAACTGAACAAAAGAACATTCTGAAATGGCCAATAGATGGCCTAGATTGTATGAATACAGACATAAAGCCCATAACTGTCGTTCGGAATACCCTGTGTTTTTTTTTTCGAGGTTGCACATTCAAAAATCACATTCCATCTGTCACTTTCATGATCTGATAAGTGATGATCTGATTGCTTAGATGAAAGGTCGTTCTGACATGACCTGCAATGGGATGTCCTCAGACCTTTGTTTTGAGGTAGCGAGAACTAAGATCTGATTTTGAGAGATTGGACTAATCACACGATAGACATCAGGGTTAGAAACTAACAGTTTTCGGCCACTAGTCCTTATAATGATAACATAAAGCAAAACCCTTAAAAAGGGCAAATTTCTACTAGTCCTTATGATACCTTTACCATTGGGCAGTTTGGCAAGGACTATAGGACTAGTGCCAATTTCTAACGCTGGACATTCTATGGTCATCAGTCACAGTGATTAGATTGCTTTGTGGAAAAGAGGCCCTGACAAATACATAAAGTAACATTGGATTATGGGCAAGTTCAAAGCAATGTCTGCACATGACATAATATGCCTATCACGGACAAAATTCTGTTGGTTTGAGAGATGGAATAGGGAGTAGGGACATTTCTTACTGACTACCAATATCACCATTAAGACTGTTTGTGTGTGTAAAGGTATGTGACAATATTGTTGGAGATACATTTTGTGGGCTAATGGAGACAAATCCAAAATTATGATAGTTTAGTAGTTAAGGCCATCAATTACCGGGTATTCATCATGTTCATATGTGATGTAAGTAAGAGCAGCATATCATGTCATCAAATAAATCAACCAGAGCTACAGAAAATCAGCATATTTGCATTAAATACCCCCCAAAATATTCAAAACCCAATTACTTTCAATTAACTTGCGTACAGAAATGCATGCATTAAATGAAAGACTCAAATGTATGAAAACAGCACGCGTAAATACCCAATGAAGCTTTTTTAGCATGCGTACAGGAGCTAATTTCCGAAACACAATTTTGTGCTAATTTACTTTCCGAGTCAAGCCCATATATTTTGAACAGTTATATACATCTAAAACATTATTTCGGTTTTTTTAAATCTTAAAATTTTCACTAATTTTGGGGAAAAAACAATAGAGTGATGAACAGAAGAGGGAAAAAATATTGGTTACCCAATGAAAAATGTAACAACCCAATGGAAATCGTAGAGTAAAAAACTCAACTGCTCAAAAAGTTACCTGGAGCTCTGCATACACCCAACTGCTGCAAGTGGGTTATTATCAAAAAGACTTGCCAAAGCCAAGATGCTGTGCTCTGGATTAAACATTGTAACAAGGACCCCTTGACTATCATTCTTACTTTCGAACATCTTTAAGCCCTGCGGATGCAGTAGCTTGAGAGAAGAACATTGAATTTCTTTCAATGATGACTTTGGCATGTGTGCCACAGCAGTATGATTTTCATAGTTGTTCATGTTTATGGGTTTGTAAATTGTAACAGCTGCACACACTTGCTTGCATATAACTAACAAAAAAACATTCAACAGAATGGAAACGGTTACGGTCTACACAACATCAGAGATTGACAATACTAATTCCAGTAGTATAGATAAGAACGAGTAAATGGAAATATATTCATTATTCTGCCAAAAATAATATATAAACATAAACATTTAACATTACAAAAATCCTGAATACATTGACTATAGACAAAGTTGATATGGTAGCATGATCAGTGAGTGAGTGAATATGGTTTTACGTCGCTTTTCGCAATATTTAAGCAATATCACGGCGGAGGACACAAGAAATGGGCTTCACACAATGTGCCCATGTCGGGAATCGAACTCCAGTCTTTGGCGTGACAAGCAAACACTTTAACCACAAGGCTATCCAACTGTTCCTGTAGCATGATTAGCCCCAAATCATAATTATGGCACTAACAGAGGGGAAAGTCTGATAATATTTGAGACGCAAAATATTCAAAGTTTTTTCTTACCATGTTATTGAGTATTTCAAATTGCAAATGGACTTTTCATATAGAAATAGAAATATGACCAACCAATCATGCCATACATTATTTTCATCAGAACTAAACATCAATATGAAATCTAAAGGTACACACAACTGTAACATGTATATAAGATATTTAACCTGTATAATTAATACCAACGGACATGAAGAAGTCACGCATTGACTAGAGAAAATATTGTCATTACATATTCTGCTTAAAACAGTAAGCAATAATTAGTTTAATATTTAAGAAAACAATAAGGTCATCACTCTTCTAAACAATAACTTCAATCCCTTTGCATAATCAGTGTTAAACTATGTTCAAGATAACTCTAAAAAATTATTAAATCATAACTAGTCACCACAAAAATGCTCACAATATCATCTACAAAGAATTTCCATAATAAATCAAATCAACCACACATGAATAGTACCATAAAATTTGAAAAATGCAAGTTTCTTCATCGAATTTAATGATTTGGCATTTGCTTGTATAGAGTTACCTCCCCTAACGAACTGTCAAACTCGCCCAGCTGTCAAATCAACAATCTGGTACTTGTAAACATACAAATTCACGCGCCCTGACAGCAGAACTGGGGCATGATATATGCGAAATATGATGAACAAGGGTCTAAAATATCAAATGGCAACATATCTGACAACAAATGCAGACCAATTACATCAACGTTCGCGATTCCGATAGCTAATTCCTAGCGACAGAATCGGTTGTTTCGGTTCTAAATGTCAGCTGCTCATTATGCGTCCCATGTGGAATCGGCTGAAAGCTTACCTTTCGGGAATACGGCAATGAACACATAGCGACCCCAATCACAATCCGGAGGGTATAGGCGACCATCGGAGAGTCGAATACCCCTCATACTCCCGCTGTCGGGGTTACGGTACTTCAAACCGCACGACCCAGGGAACTGTGCAGCCAAAGTTGTCAACAACAGCGTTCCATCTTCCTCCACTGGGACTTCCATTGGCTCATCGCCTTCATCCTCAGCAACCTGTATATACTGACTCATGTTGTGACGAATTGGGGCAATGCACGTTGAACGAAACGGGTGGAATTATCCGAAATTCTTTTGCCCGCCTAGCTCCCCTGGGCTACGATAGTTATGAAGATGGCGGCAGCTACCGCGCAATGCATCATGGGAAAACATCGATCGCAAAATTCACAAGTAAAGAGATGAGTGATTTTTAGCTGAATGGATGCTGATTCCGAGTACTGAATGTCTAAAACGCGTTTTTATTGATTTTTATACACATCATTATTGCACAATATAGTGTTTGGTGGGATCAATCGACAGAAACTAACAAAGAACGATAACTCTGTCTGAACGCGCACCTGCCCAGTGCCCATTGTTCTGGAAATTCATTTCCTGGATAATTTGGTCAGCAATCCCGAAGTTTATGTTCCAGTGGTGGACAGAATGTACACACGATTGACCGATTAAACATATTATGAGATTTATGAAGTCATTTCTGTTGTTTTTGTGATGGAAACTATCGTCGAAAAGGCGCACTTATCACTCGGAGCAGCTCCCGTTTTGAAACATTATGGCGGGCGAGGTTGGTCGCTTGATGTACATGTAAATATTTAGTCAAACATGAGCTGTAGTGGTCATCGATTGACCGACACACCTTTGTTTACCTTTCAAGTATGATATTTAGACATAATTCAACATTTTAAACGCGTTTTAGAATTATGTCATCTGTTATTTGCAGTAATATGACTGCATATTCATAATTAATTATTACAGCGACCAAGCATGCGGAACAGCACATTTTATATTTTCAGGAAATAGAAAGGAAATTGACACCGATTGATTCTCGACACGAAGTATTTGTTATGAAAATTTTGTTCTTTATTATCGATGAATAGGAGTATGTATTATTATTGAAATGCAGGTTTCCATTTGCAAATGCCCTCTGCTCAACTGAAAGTCTGTTTAATCGTATGGTTTATCGCGGTTTATCGTAACATTTAGTGAACATTTATAGACGAGGAGACTTAACTAATCTATTGTGTTGCATATCAAAGTTAAGTTTGTGGGTAATTTGTCATGATTTGTTGTTATCATGACAATGATACTATTGAAAACAAAATTCTTCATATAAATTACATTAGCATGTTTTTAGAAGAAAGATAATTTGTTTCTGAAACTATGTTAGAGCAACGTCAAACCAATATAACTGAATCCCTTATGCGTAAGGAAAATAAATTGAACAAAAGTTATAATTCAAGGCTGTAGTTAACTTTTTTTGACAGGTGGGGCAAATATTTGTACAAGTATCACTTGTCCCCAACTTGTATTTTCATGATTCAAATAAAACTGTTTTCTTTAAACGGCACTGTAATTGTTTACACAATTAACTAAGCAATTTAAGTTTATATACAATAAACTAAGTAATTTAAGTTTATATACAATAAACTAAGTAATTTAAGACTCATACAGAAACATGTCTTTAAAATGTGGACATAGTTATAAAACAAAAGTGAACACAAACGGATATCCAAATTAATATTGTAGAATTAATAAGATGGTTTTAGGAAGTGTTGATTTCTCTATGACCTGTTGTAATACATCTTGTACATTGTGTCAGCTTGTGGGATCCCAGTCACACCGTTGCTTGTGGTATAGGAGGCGGCGACATTGTAAGGGCCTCGGTAACTTGGTTGATTGCGGGGTCATCATACCTCCTCCCTGCCCCCCCCCCCCCCCCCCCCCCCCCCCAAACACACAATACAATATACTTCAATAGCTTTGTTTGGCTCACACTCGATTATTTACAATTAATAATCATGCAATTAAACCATGTGATAGTTATTTTTTTGTCAGAAAGACTTTTCGTTATTTTTTCCTTGTAACGGAGAGTGATTGCTGTTTAACGGCGCAGTCGGCAGTATTCCAGCTCACGAATTATTGGCGAGTCTCGACTGGTTAATCCTATGACTAAGGGGTTTTTCATTTTTGTTTATTTTTTTTTTGTTTAACGCCGCTCTCATCAGTATTCCAGCTATATGACGGCGGTCTGAAAATAATCGAGTCTGGACCAGATAATCCAGTGAGTGACATCATGAGCATCGATTCACGCAATTGGGATCGATGACATGCATCAACCAAGTCAGCGAGTCTGACCACCCCATCCCGTTAGTCGCCTTTTACGACAAGCATAGTCGCCTTTTTCAGACCCGGAATCTCCACGACTTTGCCGTTTTCCGAGAAACGGCTGTCAGCGCCAAAGGATCTCTCTACCAATACGTCCTTGCTTTGCGAAATATACACGAGTTCGATCAAGGTGTTGTAGCGGTAGTGATAACACTGGTGTAGTGTGCAAAAAAGGCAATTCAATTGTGACGTAGTGACGTCACTTGTTACTTTAGGTCTTCCCGCCTTTGGGCATCGGTCGATGGCTTCCTTTAAAGGGCTACCAAAGCCAACCCGGATGTACACGGGGGTTGATCAATACATTATACTGGAGGGGTAAAGATTGATGAACCTTTGACCATACAGTTAGTACGACATGATACCTGTTTCAGTACAACGTTCCAATAAATTGAAAAGATGCCTCGCGTGTTTGTATAATCAGGGGTGTGTGAGGTGATAGGATGAAATTGGGTTTAACGTCGCGTTCAAGATTATTTGCACTTATATAGCGACGTGCATGCACTTATGTGTGTGTTTGTCTGCTTGTGGAATGTGTTGAAAAGGTCCCCAGTAACCTATGTTTGTCAGCTCAGTGTGTTGCTGGTCAACGTATACTACGATGGTGTGAGACCCGTGAAGATCCGGGGTAGAATAGGTCTTCAGCAACCCATTTTTGCCGTAAAAGGCGACAATGCTTGTCGTAAGAAGAGGCTAACGGGATCGGGTGGTCAGGCTTGCTGACTTGGTTAATGCATGTCATCGTATCCCAATTGCGTGGATCGATGCTCATGATGTCAATCACTGTATTGTCTGGTTCAGACCCGATTATTTACAGACCGCCGTCATAGAGCTGAGATATTGCTGAATGCAGCGTTGAACAACAAACAAAACGATTGAGTGACACAGACATGGATTATCTAGTGTATTACATCGCCATTCGGTGTATTATCAATATGGGATGTATTGCACAACTGGGAGATCAATGAGTGATGAAATTACTTGTGTTCATGACTATTACCCATATATAATAGTATATTAATTGGATAAATAATCGATTTGAAACATAATACACTGGATACATTCATCAATAAATAGTATGTTATCTTTATTTTGAGACGATCCCTATTAATCTACATGCCACTTTATCTGCTCATATGTAGTTTCCTCAGGACACTAGTTGTGATATCGATATCACTCCAAACTGATACCGGATGTGTCAAGCGATTCAGATCTAATCATCATAATCATCATACAACAAAGAAGTATAGCAACAATTTTTTTTAGAAGGGCAATACTTTGTACCATCTGGCCAGACAGAATCAAAACTCTGGTTCCCAATGCTACCAAGAGACCTATAGAATCATATGAATTAATATGGTGCAATGGTAAGTCGTGTTGTGTTATACAGTGTTAGCGTTCCCTATTGTGTTTACGTTTTGATTGTTTGTTTGTTGTTTAACGCCGCACTCAGCAATATGTCAGCTATATGACGGTGTTCTGTTAATAATCGAGACCAGACAATCCTGTTATTGACACCATGAGCATCGATCCACACAATTGGGATACGATGACATGCATCAACCAAGTCAGCGAGCCTGACCACCCGATCCCGTTAGTCGCCCCTTAAATCAAGCATAGTCGCCTTTTACGGCAATCATGGGTTGCTGACGACCTATTCTACTCCGGATCTTCTTGTGTTTACATATCAATGGACTTCGTTTGCAAAGCCACCGGTCGCCTATTTATTTCCATACTATAGCTACATATAAATGAAACTCATTCGACCAAAACTATATATTAATATAAACGAGTCCATTGTATTGTGTATTTGTATTTAGAGTTTCATTTATGTTTAGTTAATTATTTATGGAATAAATTGTGAATGATTTCGTTTGGCGTTTATGGTCAAAGGGAGACAACTACTCATAATCGTTGAGTTTGGCGTAAGGGATGGACCATTTTATTTTTCGTGGGGTGGATGTTGTTTTGTTTTTTAAAAACCCACAGCTCATAATTTTGTGTAAATAAAAAAAATATTTTCCACCTGCTTGAATGAAAAGAAATCTCATCCTCAAGAAAACCATCCGCAAACTGGTCATCCTCATCAATACAGAGTATTTCGTGAGCAAAGCCGAAATCTTTGACATCGAGACATGAGCATGAAAGACAGTATGCCTGTCTATGCCTGTAACACTTATCTATTAATAATCTATCTTGTTTTCATTTTAAGATGTCATATCATGCAAGTCACTATGACGTATCCTTGGACAAGGTGCTATTCAAAATACAACGCTAAGCATAATTACTCTAAAATAATTGCGTTTTCCCAAATTAACGACTGAGAAGACAACAATGCATGGATAACGAACTGTAAGAGGAAAAGAGCACAAGCAAAACACGACGGTGTGGAGCCCAGTGATTTCTTTTGGTAAGTCGAGCATACTCTGTTATAGCTTCGAATGGACGTTTCATTTTGGTGACCCGACATATACATGGCTGGCTTCAAAGCCTGCATCATTCTTAGCCTGAATCGATGTCGCTCTCAGTTTTCCCAAATGATTTTTAATGTTATTTTTAGACATTGAGGTATCCCCCTAAAGTAGTTCTGTATGTCTCCGCTTGATTGACAGCGTAATCACGTGACATACTTATAGAATAACCCACGAGGTACGAGTGATTACGGAAAATATGTCACGAGTGAAATTAATGTTTTAAGTTCCGAGCTTTAGCGAGGAACTTAAAAGATTAATTTCACGAGTGACATATTTTCCGTAATCACTCGTACCTCGTGGGTTATTCTATTTATTACCCATATTCATATTAAAGACATGTTTCAAGAAAAAAACAATGAACTGTCGCCGATCAAGAATCAGCTGTTTTGTATCAATCCGCGTGTGAAAAAACACTGTCCACTCACTCCAGCCGCATTACTCAATCAACAACGTCTTGCTACGCGTAAAAATATAGTTCTGTTAA